GTGAGTCACTGTCCATGAGTGAGTCATCGTGTATGAGTGAGTCATTGTGTATGAGTGAGTCATTGTGTATGAGTGAGTCATTGTGTATGAGTGAGTCAGTGTGTATGAGTGAGTCACTGTCAATGAGTGAGTCATTGTGTATGAGTGAGTCATTGTGTGTGAGTGAGTCACTGTCAATGAGTGAGTCATTGTGTATGAGTGAGTCATTGTGTATGAGTGAGTCACTGTCAATGAGTGAGTCATCGTGTATGAGTGAGTCATTGTGTATGAGTGAGTCATCGTGTATGAGTGAGTCACTGTCAATGAGTGAGTCATTGTGTATGAGTGAGTCATGTGTATGAGTGAGTCATCGTGTATGAGTGAGTCATCGTGTATGAGTGAGTCATTGTGTATGAGTGAGTCATTGTCAATGAGTGAGTCATCGTGTATGAGTGAGTCATTGTCCTTGAGTGAGTCATTGTGTATGAGTGAGTCATTGTGTATGAGTGAGTCACTGTCAATGAGTGAGTCATCATGTATGAGTGAGTCAGTGTGTATGAGTGAGTCATTGCGTGTGAGTGAGTCATTTTCCATGAGTGAGTCATTGTGTATGAGTGAGTCATTGTCCATGAGTGAGTCATTGTGCATGAGTGAGTCAGTGTGTGTGATTTATTACGTCATGAACAAGTGAATTAATGATTAAATGAGAAGAATGATACAATATTCCAGTTATATCACTGTAGGGAGTGGTGGGTGTGTGGCTGGAACTGTGATGGTGTAGTTGTGGTGGTGAGAAATACACATTGCACCTTAATGGAGAACTAATCTTTAAACTTCTGTATGACATGTCGGTGTTATACCATGCTGCCATCCAGACTCTCTCTCACCAAGGATTGAATACGAACGATATACAATACTCTAACTCTTAGTTAATGATAGTATAAATCTTGATGGAAACAAAAAGCCCCATTTAAACTGAAAAGGCCTCAAAGTGAGAGAGTAGTTTCTGAGAAGCATCTACACTTGCTTCCTTTGAGGTTTCTGCTTTACTGAGAGACCTGGGTGAAAATAACGTGGATCTGGGACACCGAGGCAGACTAATTGTACCAAGGTTTAAATTCGAATCCAGGTTCTCGTGTGAAAAGCAATTCTTGAAATACTAAGCTAGTCCTTCGAGTTCGAATTCCAGAATTCAACCAACAATCTGTACTTTACTGAGAAAGTGTAATTCCAAATATAACATATGTTACAATTGCCCACTTTCCAAATGGCATTGTGTATTCATAGTCCCGTGGAGACTATCAAAGTTGCCGTTTACAACCACTTGTATCAGATGATGGGTGTAAGGTTACTGAGCACCACAACCAAGCCTGAACATACATCAAATTATGGAACAATGTCAATGTTTGTGATTGCGCGTGGTGCTGTGCTCAAAGCTCAGGTCACAAATTGGTGAAGTTTAGCAGCGTCGAGCTCGGAGAGTCTTTGGATGGGTGACCGTGTTTGGCAGCTTGACTCCTGAGAGTTTCTAGACTTGAGTCCTGTCCCTAAACGAAGCACATGTGACACATGTGGTTTCACCTTAGGCAAGTCAGTTTGTCCAAAATTGTCTCTGTTCACCCAGCAGGAAAATGGGTACCTGGTGGAAAAAGTCATATGACTATAACCTTCTAGCGCCTAACAGGCAGCTTGGGTTATCCGGGGTAATAATGTGCTGTGCCTTGATTGATAGCGCTATGAGCATACCTAGTGTGGAATTTGGCGCTATATAAATGGACACATTATTATTATTATTATTATTATTGGGAAAAGGCCAAAACGCACCACTTCATTGCCAAACCAGCATTATCAATAGAAAATCCTAAGTGAATTAGAGATTACAGATCCTCGGCTTGTACAAGTGTCTAGGCATTTAGCCTAAAATTCGGCAGAGGCGTCGCCCAGCCAGATGTGACTGTCTTGGGCAATCCTAGACCACGGCATGCTAGGAACCCAGTAGTATATGGATTGATTATAGAGTAATATACACCACGTGATCAAATGGCGATCGGTGGTTGGACGAGAACCAAGTGGGTGATGATGATGGTCTGGATGGAGTAGGATCCATTAACAGCAGCAGCTTGTGTGGTCAGGTAATGTGACACGTCGTCGTTGTCAGCAACAGCTACACCGGACACCGACATTCTAGCCAGAACTACGCCGCTTTGTACAGTATTTCAGTTTATCACAGAGCGTCTGATTGATGTGGGAGAAGCAGATGTACCAGGCATTAGGCGTGTATCACAATGGGATGATACCGAGGAACCTAGAAACCCAGAAACCCGGAAACCTAGAAACCTGGAAATATAGTTAGGGCAAATCTGGCACGCTTTGGTCGACAGAACCATCCACGATTCCACCACTACTAGAAGCACACATTGTTCTAGTATTTGATGAATTGTTCTGCTTTTGGACCCATGAAGATCCCTGTTAGAATTGATCTTCAGTAACCCATGCTTGTCGTAAGAGGCGAGTAACGGGATCGGGTGGTCAGGCTCGCTGACTTGGTTGACACATGTCATCGTATCCCGTTTGCGTAAATCGATGCTCATGCTGTTGATCATTGGATTATCTGGTCCAGACTCGATTATTTACAGACCGCCGCCATATAGATGGAATATTGCCGTGTGGGGCGTAAAACTATCTGTTATACATTGTTAAGCTGTCCAATACATTGTTCAGCTGTCTAATACATTGTTCTTCGTTTATTGACACGTCATTGTGCTGTCTGACACAAAGTTCTGCTCTTACTGACATATTGTTCTGTCTGATACATTGTTCTGCTTATACTGACACACTGTTCTGCCGTCTAATACATTGTTCTGCTATATGACACATTGTCATCTGTTATTCTGTCAATAAGTTATATGGCGGCAGTGGGTGAATATGAAATACACAATGCCATTTTAGAAAGTGGTCAAATGTAACATATGTTATATTTGGGATTAATTGAGTCTGGAACAGACAATCCAGTGATCAACAACATGAGCATCGATCTACGCAACTGGGATATGATGACATGTGTCAACCAAGTCAGCGAGCCTGACCACCCGATCCCGTAAGTCGCCTCTAGTCGTAGGTTAGTTCCGAGCTAACAATTTCACGTTGTCACAACGTTGAGGAAGCGTTACGTTTGGGGTTTCTCACGACGTTATAATATAATAGTGCAGGGGCTTATGTAGCAAAAATGCTTTCCGTGGGAAGTGCATGTTAATTTTTGGAACCACTGATAATTGTGATCAGTATTGCATATGGATTCAGAAAAAACATGGTTCCATTTTTTCTGATGATTATAAGTGTCATTCTGGGGTAACTGCAACACCAATGTGAGAAAAGCATATTTTTATAAACCTATTACAACATAGGCATGTAGTATGTCAAAATGTACCTTGTGATGTGTGCTTTACAACTACCATTATATATCATGAATCTCAATAATATATGTATGCATAATAAACACTATGATCATAATTGCTTCTGCCAAAACGTGTTGCAGAGGGTATGTATTCAACCCTGTTTGATATGCTACATGACTATATTGTGATAGGTTTATAAAAACATGTTTTTCTCGAAATGGTGTGGCAAGCAATTTTGGGAACTCATATTCAATCACCCCACAATGACACTTCTAGCAAACAGAAAAATGGAACCATGTTTTTCCTGACTCCATACACAACAGGGATTACAATTAGTATTGGTTCCCAAAATTAACATGCAATTCCCACGGAATTACACAAGCCCCTGCACTATAACAACGTTTCTTATAAATTGTCACGAAAGAGCGTTCAGTTTCTGTAAAACGTTTCACTTTGAGATTCGTTATTCACTATTCAGCTACAGCTAGCTACAGGAGACACACGACCAAACCAACACGCAAATTGACGAATAAACATTGAAGTGAATTTCTCCTTTGTTTCTTGTGTACTGTTCAGCTGTTCACGTTAAATAGAACGTTAAGACAACGTAAAATACGTTAGTATCAAATAACGTAACCTTGTGGCGACGTAAACATGGCGTATCACAACGTCAGGCCACAACGTTGTGACAACGTAAATGAGAGTCCACAGAACAACGACAGCATAACGTTAGGACAACGTTGTGACAACGTGAAATTGTTAGCTCAGTCAGATTGTCCCAGCCATTTCACGGGGGCCAATAAATAATGACAGTGGACCAAACAAACCAGTGGATGACGGCATGAACAACTGCCAGATTAAAAGTAGTCAAGGAAGGGGAACATCTGAGGTGAACGGGAAGAGTGAGTATGGTTTTTATACCGCTTTTAGCAATGTTGCAGCTACATCACTTCGGGGAACACCAAGAATGGGCTGCACACATGTACTCATGTGAGAATCGAACCCGGGTCTTCGGCGTGACAAGCGAACGCTTTAACCACTAGGCCACCCTACTACCCCGTTAAGGGAGTTCCAAAGCACAGCAGCAGAGCGGTTGAAGGATCTGGCTCCAAATGTCTTCAAAGTGTAGGGGGGTACAGAAAGATTGAATTTATCAGATTTTAGATAGATAGAAAGATAGATAGATAGACAGAGTGAGTGAGTTGAGTTTTACGCCGCACTCAGCAATATTCCAGCTATATGGCGGCGGCCTGTAAATAATCGAGTCTGGACCAGACAAGCCAGTGATCAACAGCATGGGCATCGATCTGCGCAATTGGGAACCGATGACATGTGTCAACCAAGCCAGCGAGCCTCACCACCCGATCCCGTTAGTCGCCTCTTACGACAAGCATGGGTTACTGAAGGTTCATTCTAACCCGGACCTTCACGGGTATAGATAGATAGACAGATGGGTAGATTGATAGACAGACAGTGAGATAGATAGATAGATGGGTAGGTAGGTAGGTAGGTAGGTATAGACTGCAAGTGAAACAAACCACAGGGCATTGCCGTTTTCCCATCATCATCTGGGAAGACTCTCCACTTTGATGAATATACAATTAACAAAACAACAATATCCGGTAATGTATATCTTTACACGTTTACTCCTGACGATTATAGGATCCTACATAGTCGGACTCGGTGCACGTGTACCCCGTGACAGTGTCGGTGCGTGAGTAGATGATCCTGGTGCAAGCGGGAGGAAACTGTATGCACGTGGGAGGGTCGGTCCTAGAAACACAAAAACCAAAGACATATACATTTGAATAAATAGATGGGTTTAGTATACCTCAGCTCTGGTAGAAATGTTGTTTATAGGTTTACTTGTTTATCGACACACTCAGCAATATGTAAGTTATATGACACTGGTCAGTAAATAATCGACTTTGGACCTACAGGCAAGTGATTGACATCATGAGCATCGATCTTCGCAATTGGGATACGATAACATGTGTCAACCAAGTCAGCGAGTCTGACCACCCGTTCCCGCTGAAGACCCGGATCTTACGGGTAGATGTGTATAAGTCGGTGAGTGAGTGAGTTGGGTTGTACGGCGCTTTTAGCAATATTGCAACAATATCACTGCGGGTGACGCCAGAAAAGCGCTTCACACAATGTACCCATATGGGGAATCGAACCCGGTCCTTCGGCGTGACGAGCGAACGCTTTAACCGCTGGGCTACCCCACCGCCCCTCACACAATAAATAAACAAACTAACAAAACGTTAAAGAGTCGATATGAGCCAGGGATTTATATGCGCTTCAATTTACATTGGTCCAATATGCATACAACTTTACTGGCGGGAACGCTGCACTGAGTAGAGCACTTCGGTCTTTTTTCACAATAAAATACGTTTAAAACTAAACCTTTCTGAGATAAACACGCAGTGCAGTCAACTATTGATCATGTATGTATCGGCCAGTATAGCTGGCGTTATGACGTTCTTCACCAGGTTATTGTGGTGAACACAGGCCAGAGAGAGGTAGCTGAAACGTACATAAAATATACACAACACTGTCCATCACTGTTTAAGACTGACTGAGTTTGGTTTTACGCCGTATTTGGCAATATTCGAGCAATATCACGGCGAGGGACAACAGGGAATAGGCTTCACACATTGTGCCCATGTGGGGAATCGAACCCGGGTCTTCGGCGTGACGAGCCAACGCTTTAACCACTAGGCTACCCCACCGCCCCCAACTGTTTAAGAAAGGGTTAGCTATGGAAAAGTTACCAAAGTCAGGGTAGTCCGTTTGGCTCAAAAGGACCGATGAATTGCGATCTACTCGAAAACTAATAAACATATAATACTCAATGAAACGCTGATCATAATAAATACATCAGACCAACTCTGGGAGGTTTTTGCAGAATTTATGTCCTAAAAATAAAAAACTATCATTAAAATTTTGACACAGTTCACTATTTGTTACGAGGGAGGAGTGCAGAGAAAGGGACAGCCAGGTGTGCGAGAAAGGAAGGAGACGGGACAGCACAGGTTAATGAATCAAGAACGTTCTCGGCACTTGCTTCTCTAACACCAGGCTGTCCCTTTCTCTGCACTCCTCCCTCGTAACAAATAGTGAACTGTGTCAAAATTTTAATGATAGTTTGTTAAACAACTTTTTTAATTTTAAAACATAAATTCTGCAAACAAATCACAGAGTTGGTCTGATGTTTCGATTATGATCAGCGTTTCATTGAGCATTTTATGTTTATTAGTTTTCGAGTTAGATTGCAATTCATCGGTCCGCTTTTGAGCCAAACGGACTATAGAAGTTGGTGTGATGAACAACGAGGAGAGTTCTATGGATATACAACTTCTTTAATATGATATGAGAGACGTTTCGGTGTAGCTACTAACAATTTGCTTGATAACGGTGTTAGTAGCTACACCGAAACGTCGCGCTTGATAACGGTGTTAGTAGCTACACCGAAACGTCGCTCATATTATATTAAAGAAGTTGTATATCCATAGAAATCTCATTTGCTTGATAACGGTGTTAGTAGCTACACCGAGACGTCACTCATATTATATTAAAGAAGTTGTATATCCATAGAAATCTCATTTGCTTGATAACGGTGTTAGTAGCTACACCGAAACGTCACATATTATATTAAAGAAGTTGTATATCCATAGAAATCTCATTTGCTTGATAACGGTGTTAGTAGCTACACCGAAACGTCTCTCATATTATATTAAAGAAGTTGTATATCCATAGAACTCTCCTCGTTGTTTAAAAAAAGTTGTTTAACAAACTACATGTATCATTAAAATATTGACACAGTTCACTATTTGTTACGAGGGAGAAGTGCAGAGAAAGGGACAGCCAGGTGTATCCGGAGCATGTGCACAAGTGCCGACAAAGTTATTGATTCATTAACCTGTGCTGTGCCGTCTCCATCTTTTCTCGCACACCTGATGGCAACGTTTAACGTTTTAGTTAAAGCGTACCCCTTTCGCCCGTGAGTGAGTGAGTATGGTTTCACGCCGAAGACCCGGGTTCCATTCCCTACATGGCTACAATGAACCAAGCCCATTTCTGGTGTCCCACATCCTGATATTGCTGGAATATTGCTAAAAGCGGTGTAAATCTAAACTCACTCACTCACTCACTCGAAGATTTTGCTTCCGAACAAGTATGTGGGGGTAGGAATTGGGTGAAAGGGTCTCAGTATATTTTGGAAAGCTCTCAATGGCATTTCATCTTTTGTAGTAGACTCACTTGGTGCATCCTTGTAGGCTCCCAGTGTTACAGCGCAAGTCCAGCGCCAGGGAACAGTCGGGGGCGGTAACTCTTGATTCGTGTTGAAACACGCTATTGCTTATTTTACATTTCTTTCCTGTAATAAACAACAGTAAACACATCTTATTTTAAAGGAATTTAAGTTGATGGGTAAAAAATACCCGTTTAAACGTCATGAGGAAGGAATCGGTTCGATTGCCAAGATGATGTAAACGATTGATTCCCATCGCCCCTACCAGGGATAATTCACGGATGGGGATGGGTTAACACCATCTTGGCAATCGAAACCATTCCTTCCTCATGACGTTTACACGCGTATTTTCAGTGGGGCGTTCGGGACCGCCTCCGTGGTGTAGTGGTTAGAGCGTCCGCCCGGAGAGCGGAGGGTCGCGGGTTCGATCCCCGACCGCGTCATACCAAAAGACGTTAAAATATGGTACTTGTTGTTTCCTGCCTGGGGCTCGGCGTTAATGGCTACAACAAGGATTGGTCGGCTCGGAGTCAGTATAATGTGTCTGAGTGGGGTATTCATGCTTCACTGCGGCATGGTATCTCAGTGGGCTAGCACTATAAAACCAGCTTAAGTCTGGGCTAGTACAAGAAGCCGCACATACACATACACACGCATGCACGTCGTCATATGAGCGAAATATTCTCAAGCACGACGTAAAACCCAATTTCACCTCACCCACCTCAGTGGGGCGTTCGCCCAACACGCCGAAGCCGACGGTACTAGTTCGATTCCCCACATGGGTACATTTTGTGAAGCCCATATCTGATGTCCCTCTCTCGTATAAGAATATTGCTAAGATTGGCTTAAAAACAAACTCATTCTCTTGTGAACACATACGGCGTATGCCCAAGAACAACCAATACAATCTTGTGTTGGTAAAGGAAACATCCTTCTTGTAAACACAAAGGGGGTAAACAAAGATAAATCAATACAATATCAGGATGGTAAAGTAAACCCTCAACCTTATCATGTGAACACATAAGGAATATTCCCTAGCAATCAAAACAATATCATGATGGTAAAGTAAATCCTTACCTTATCATGTGAACACATAAGGGATATTACCTAACAATCAATACAATATCATGATGGTAAAGTAAATCCTCAACCTTATCATGTGAACACATAAGGGATATTACCTAGCAATCAATACAATATCATGATGGTAAAGTAAATCCTTACCTTATCATGTGAACACATAAGGGATATTCCCTAGCAATCAATACAATACTATGATGGTAGGGGAAACATCCTCACCATTCTCCTCAACGACGAGACTGGAGATGGTGCAGGATTTGCCCCTATACTGTGTTACAGGTGTTGGCTGTGTTCCCGGCAGTAGACACAGGTTTAGACACAGGTGTGTCAAACAATACAAGGCAAGACACACACGCATGTTCAACCTGAAATAAAATGCTCACAACATGTTTACTTCCACCGACTGGTCAGTTAATTACAAGCGTATCATCCCGCCAAGGAAAACAATTAAGGTTGTTTTCAGTTTCATGACAATACCGGGACAAAACCTAGTCTCTTCTACGGGCAAAACTCAAAGTCCACTGGGCTTAAAAGGGAAAATAGTGGTGAACATTCATTGTACGAATGGATTACTGAAAATCAGTATTGACACCAACTGTTCATGATGACAAGTCTGCGTTGTATTTTATCCGCGAACAAAACCTCAAAATGGGCTGATACCTCTTCGGAAAGTGCCACCCAGAATCAGAGTTTGAAGAGCACCACACCAAAACGGTAATGGACTCATTATTGGAACTGTCACCTTTAGCTACCGCCTCCGTGGTGTAGTGGTTAAAGAGTCCGCCCGGAGAGCGGAAGGTCGCGGGTTCGATCCTCGACCGCGTCATACCAAAAGACGTTAAAATATGGTACTTGTTGGTCCCTGCCTGGGGCTCGGCATTAATGGCTACAAGAAGGACTGGTCGGCTGGGAGTCAGTATAATGTGTCTGAGTGGGGTATTCATGCTTCTCTGCGGCATGGTATCTCAGTGGGCTAGCACTATAAAACCAGCTTCAGTCTGGGCTAGTACAAGCAGCCGCACATACACACGCATGCACGTCGTCACATGAGCGAAATATTCTCAAGCACGCCGTTTAGCTGACACAAACCCTTTACTAACGAAAGATACGTACTCCTCTCTCACAGACTGATGACTGGTCTATAGAAGCTCCTCATTAGCCAAAACTAAAACAAAGATGTGGCTTGACATTCAGAAAGGCATTGGGGAAAGAATGTTTTACAAAGCGAGATTTCTGCAGTCAGAAATGACAAGCTCTGGTTTACCACAATATCTACCAGCAGTCTCCAAATCCAGGAGTATCTTAGAACCGGCTGGAGTAGAACTTGTTTTACAAAGCGAGATTTCTGCAGTCAGAAATGACAAGCCCTGGTTTACCACAATATCTACCAGCAGTCTCCAAATCCAGGAGTATCTTAGAAGAACCAGCTGGAGTAGAACTTGACTTTTTATTCAACACATCAAAACAAAACTGAGAACTTTTAGTAGTTGAACTGTCCTTTCCAGGTTTCAATACTGTGAACTGAAAACCCTGACTGGCTGAAACTAACATTATGATCGCATTCTGGTGCAACTTTCTGCTCATCAAAATAAGTCCAAATGTCTAGTGACGGACACTGCTTAAAATCCTCAAGCAAGACCAACTGTCTCAACTGGCAAGATCACCACTGACCTCATGCGAACTGCACAACCTTTCCTCTCTCCCGAACGAACTCAACAAAAGTAGTGCCATTGCTTTTCTTAGCAGACCTAAACCTTTCCCTCTTACCGTCAAAAACCAGTTCCTAAGCCTTCAATACTGCAGTCTGATGATCAGAACTCTGTCAATAGGTAAAACAGAAAAAAACTTCCCGATGTTTTTCAGAAATACACTTTGCAGCAACATGGTTGATTGACGTTCAAGCCTTTCAAATTGTTAACCATCTTTTCAAAATGTAAGGATCAACATCACGTTCAGAGAAAGGCGAGACAAGTCTAGTCTGCCCTATAACATCAAACGATCTGTTGTTGTACTATGAGAGAGATGACTTTGTACTCCGAGTTGATTCTTTTAATATGAAATTCTATCTTACACTTTTTCAGCTTAAAATTTACTAGATTTCGGGTTTTTTAGTTAGATTCAATTTCTAACTGCCTAATCAACAATTTTTCTTTCTGAATTTCTATTAAAAAAATCCTCGAAGTCAAAACGGCGTCTTCATTCAAGGCCAAAGCATCATTATCCCAAATGCCTTGTGAGAAATGTGAGATGAGGGGCAAGATTTAACTCCCTTTATATGCATCTCGCGGATTCTGGAATAAGGTACTTGAATGCCTTTCCAGATCACTCTGTCAAATCTGGTCAAGTCTAATTAGAAGCACACCACTGTCCCTTACTGAATGTTCATGTACAGTGTTTACAGTGAAAACATCATTATAGACGTACCCGTATCGTGATGACCTTGTCTCGTCCATGATTTTCTGTGATGGACATGTACAGTCCGTTTGAGTCAGAAACGGACCGATGAATTGCAAATTTATCATTGTACAGTACCCTTGCTGATACTTCCAAAAGCTTTTGCTGCCCGCTTACGGAATTTATTAATGGCATAAAATGGTTTGCCCCTTTCGGCTTCAGCACGGAAAAAATCGTACACTTTAATCATCAACTGTTTCACGTCAGCATTCAACTTCATTTTTCATCAGGCATGTGTATCCCGTGCACGACGAGATAGTGGCTGTTCCGTTTCTGCGGTTTCACCCCGCCGCGACAGATAACAACTTTTGCGTTTTCAATGATGATAGTTTCTTAAACAACTTTTTTGGTGGAGTCCGGAAAATTTTCAAATATAAGACAGCTGTTGGGTATTAGTAAATGATAAACATGTGTACTATTTATATTTATGTGGCAATTTTTGTACAATGATAACATTTGCAATTCATCGGTCCGTTTCTGACTCAAACGGACTAGTGGTATACTTTTCATCGCTATGTTGGTGTTTTACACCCAGTGCAGACTTCTTTGAATGGTGTTTTAGAAGTTGGGAAGAGGCTATATTGTTTTACCTTTTATACATCTGAAGTATTTATTTTTTAAAACCGTCAAAGTTAGAGCGTAAGCTGTCTCTATTCTCCAACCAGTAGAATCTGTTTCGTTGGAAAAAAAGACCGCTTATGCTCTAACTTTGACGGTTTAAAAATGACTTTAGATTTATAAAAGGTAAAACAATATAGTAACAAGAATATATCCTACTTTGTCACCTAATGCAACCAAGACCACAAAGGTATTCTATAGGTTATCTGATACAAGTGACGAAATGTTATTTACCGTTAAGAACAGATAAGGTAGTAGTATCGCAGAAAAAGGCTGCGACTATTCCAGCGAGGAATGGCATAATACAATTGACTTGCCTTTGCATGTCTTTATGACAACTACTTCTAATTAATGCCTCAATTTTCGCACATTTATTAGTGATTCTTGAACATTATGGAACGAGCTTGACAACGGTACAAGAATCTGTATCGAAACGTCGCACTCACGAAATAAAGAAGTTGTTATACATAAAAACTTGTTCCATATTGTACGTCTCAACTTCTAAAATGTCAAACAAGGATTCTTGAACATGGCATGTAATGTATAGGATGGTACATTGGACTGTTAGTAAATAATTCTTGTTAGCATGGAAATGGAATTATGCAGACCTTACCAGTGTGTTGTCAGGGATCATCCGATTTTCCGTCGCAGTGAACGTCTGAGGCCACACAGTCCCTGCCTGGGTACGATTTTGACTGGAATATTCGCTCACGAACTAACCGTGAATATCGATGTGCTTATATCGAACGTTGCTGCTTAAACACAGTGGGTTTTACATTTGCTTTTTAAATTTGATTTCAATTCACACCGTTGAGTAACTCTATTTGCGTGCTCTCAGTATTCCAGCTACACAGGGCGGTCTGTAAACAATCCAGTCTGGACCAAACAAGTCAGAAATTGATATCCTGAATCTACAATCTACGTGGTTCGGGAAACCACAAACAACGACGACCAAGTCAGCGAGTTTGATCAGCCGATCACATATGTCGTCAAGTTTTTGTTGCTGAAACCAACTCTTATTCCATCTTCAATTGGGAAGACAGGAGTGGGCTCATGGAGACCAACTGTAACCCGGATCTCTACAGGGAAGACAAGAGTGGGCTCATGAAGACCAGCTGAAACCCGGATCTGCACAGGGAAGACAATAGTGGGCTCATGGAGACCAACTGTAACCCGGATCTCTACAGGGAAGACACAAGAGTGGGCTCAAGGAGACCAACTGTAACCCGGATCTTTACAGGGAAGACAATAGTGGGCCCATGGAGACCAACTGTAACCCGGATCTCTACAGGGAAGACAAGAGTGGGCTCATGGAGACCAACTGTAACCCGGATCTCTACAGGGGAAGACAAAAGTGGCCTCATGGAGACCAACTGTAACCCGGATCTTTACAGGGAAGACAAGAGTGGGCTCATGAAGACCAGCTGAAACCCGGATCTGCACAGGGAAGACAATAGTGGGCTCATGGAGACCAACTGTAACCCGGATCTTTACAGGGAAGACAAGAGTGGGCCTCATGGAGACCAACTATAACCCGGATCTTTACAGGGAAGACAAGAGGGCTCAAGGAGAGACCAAATGTAACCCGGATCTTTACAGGGAGAGACAATAGTGGGCCCATGGAGACCAACTGTAAACCCGGATCTCTACAGGGAAGACAAGAGTGGGCTCATGGAGACCAACTGTAACCCGGATCTCTACAGGGAAGACAAAAGTGGGCTCATGGAGATCAACTGTAACCCGGATCTTTACAGGGAAGACAAGAGTGGGCTCATGGAGACCAACTGTAACCCGGATCTCTACAGGGAAGACAAAAGTGGGCCTCATGGAGACCAACTGTAACCCGGATATCTACAGGGAAGACAAGAGTGGGCTCATGGAGACCAACTGTAACCCGGATCTCTACAGGGAAGACAAAAGTGGGCTCATGGAGACCAACTGGAAACCCGGATCTTTAGGGGAAGACAAGAGTGGGCTCATGGAGACCAACTGTAACCCTGATCTCTACAGGGAAGACAAGAGTGGGCTCATGGAGACCAACTGTAACCCGGATATCTACAGGGAAGACAAGAGTGGGCTCATGGAGACCAACTGTAACCCGGATCTCTTCAGGGAAGACAAAGAGTGGGCTCATGGAGACCAACTGTAACCCGGATCTTCACAGGGAAGACAAAAAGTGGGCTCATGGAGACCAACTGTAACCCGGATCTTTACAGGGAAGACAAGTATGGTTTGCTGAACACAAAAATACCTGATACCTGATACCTGATCTTCTCGGGGGGACACAAGCATAGGCTGCTGGAGATCAATTTTAACCTGGATCTGACATACATACATACATACATACATACATACATACATACATACATACATACATACATACATACATACATACATACATACATACATACATACATACATACATACATACATACATACATACATACATACATACATACATACATACATACATACATACATACATACATACATACATACATACATACATACATACATACATACATACATACATACATACATACATACATACATACATACATACATACATACATACATACATACATACATACATACATACAAACAAACATTTGTATAGCGCCGATATCCAGTACAACTGCTCAAAGGCGCATTGTTTTCCCTCGATCACTGGATGTCCATCACAACGGCATATCGTATTTTCAATCTCAACTCCCTGGGGAGCATACAACTCTTGCTGCCTACTAGGCGCACCGAGTTAATGTAAGTATGGGTTTTCTAGAAACCAATAAATCATGGATCTTCACGGGTGGAGACAAGAACGGGTCTCGTACCCGAGATCAGTACCATCATGGATCTTCAAGAGTAGAAGCAAGCATGGGCTGCAAGATCGGATCTTCACGGGTTTCCCGGCATAATGGTCCTATTTGTATTTGCGCGAGAGGTCTTATGTGCTACTTTCGTGATAAGAAAACAGAGCTTGTGGTATATAATAGGTTCCGAAACGATCACTGCATGCAAATGGGTCCAGGGTATATCTATATATATATAGGGGTTAGGGGAATAGAGATCAAATACCAGACAGTGCCCAGTCTAACACACTGCTGGACTTCTGGGAAAGGTACGCAGCGTCTACAAAAAAAAGTGTAAGTTGTCTAAGGCGCCATAATTCGCTCTGTGTGCGTGCGTGCGTGCGTGCGTGTGTTACAACACCACTTCCAGCACTATTCAGGCTATCAATATCGGCTAGTACGAAGGCCTTTAGGCTTCACATGCTGCTTCCATATTCGGAATCGAACCCTTGTTTCGCGGCGTGATAAGCTAACATTAAACCACTGGACTATCCCACCCCTCATGTTGTCATCGAAAGAATCCTGGAATGAAGAAATCGTTTCAGCTGTTACCAAATTTTATTCAAAATTCACTTTGAATGTTACAATGTGTGACTTGTCAATTCAAATAACTGAACACCGATACAATGGCAGTGAGCGGTAAAACGTGCGACAAAACAGGTGGTTGATATTGACTATAAAGGGAAAATTGATCAGTTTCTAAAAGTCCAACTGAATGTAAAGTTAACGTTTCTAAACTTAGTTTAGTGTGTTGATTTTGTATTGGTATTATTTGAAACATATTCCCAAATCTGATGAATCTTGAATTAATTATTTTTCTAACTTTAGCTTGCAGTACTTGTCTCCTGTACGTTTGGTAGTTATAGGATCTTTCATATCAACACACATGATAAACATATCGTAAATATAGAGAGAGTAATTGGATTTTCTTGTCAAATAATACACTGAAGAGGAAAATTAAGTATATTTTTTTTATGTAAATTAATTCAAACAGATTCAAAGAAACCAACATGAACATTTGTTCGTGAATCGCCGTCAAATAGTGATGACACCAGGTGTTCGTGAATCACTATCAAATAGTGATGATACCAGGTGTTCGTGAATCACTATCAAATAGTGATGATACCAGGTGTTCGTGAATCACTATCAAATAGTGATGATACCAGGTGTTCGTGAATCACTATCAAATAGTGATGATACCAGGTGTTCGTGAATCACTATCAAATAGTGATGATACCAGGTGTTCGTGAATCACTATCAAATAGTGATGATACCAAGTGTTCCTGAATCACTATCAAATCATGATAGTGATGACGCCAGGTGTCCATGAATCACTATCAAATAGTGATGATACCAGGTGTTCGTGAATCACTATCAAATAGTGATGATACCAAGTGTTCCTGAATCACTATCAAATAGTGATGATACCAGGTGTCCATCAATCACTATCAAATAGTGATGATACCAGGTGTTCGTGAATCACTATCAAATAGTGATGATACCAGGTGTTCCTGAATCACTATCAAATAGTGATGATACCAGGGTGTCCATGAATCACTATCAAATAGTGATGATACCAGGTGTTCGTGAATCACTATCAAATAGTGATGATACCAGGTGTTCGTGAATCACTATCAAATAGTGATGATACCAGGTGTTCGTGAATCACTATCAAATAGTGATGATACCAGGTGTTCGTGAATCACTATCAAATAGTGATGATACCAGGTGTTCGTGAATCACTATCAAACAGTGATGATACCGGCTGTTCGCTCCACTTCATCACATGGCACAGCAAATACTGTTGAATATAACGCCAGTAACAACGGCATCAGTAACGTTTGGCTTGACACTACAAGCTCAAGACTTGTCCATCCCTCTTTCGTACGGGATTCGAAAGCTGAAAATTCCGTAAAGAGAGATATACTGCTGGGTCCAGGAAATGGACCACCAAGTCGTCTCGAAATTTAAATCCTTCCTTGATACGATCAAGAAACAACGTCTTTTATATTTATAGTGGAAATAGTACCATGTGGATTTTCAAAGGCGCAAAGCATTTGTTCGAACTAACAACATCCTAGATAAGAAATGACATTTGATTGTTATTTCACATTTAAGTTTTCAACTTAAATGATAATCATCCAACACGTGAATTTTAAGGAAAACTTTTCGTTCCTTCACGCATAGGTATTCGTTGCTAAAAGTGCACGTCACCATGGCGACCAGAGCCATAGCAGAATCTCTATCTTTAAAGGTTCAGGACAATTTGTCAAAGATGAAAGTAGATGTTGTAAAATGTTACTCAGAAAACAATGTAAATAATGCTGAGCTTGCTTACCGATGTAATCTATGTGGCTTTGTGCTCTCCTCCTTCCTGATCAAGTGAGAACACCTGGTGTCATCCCAGGTAGATAGCGATTTTTACTGAGTGAGTGAGTGAGTGAGTTTAGTTTTAGGCCGCACTCAGCAATGTTCCAGCTATATGGCGGCGGTCTGTAAATAATCGAGTCTGGACCAGACAAGCCAGTGATCAACAGCATGAGCATCGATCTGCGCAATTGGGAACCGATGACATCTGTCAACCAAGTCAGCGAGCCTGACCACCCAATCCCGTTAGTCGCCTCTTACGACAAGCACGGGTTACTGAAGATCAATTCTAACCCGGACCTTCACGGGTCAGATAGGGATTTTTAAGCTGAAACTATATAGTCGGAATGGACTTTAACGATGCCTTACGATTATGGAGCATGTGTTTCACCTATCTGATGGTGAAACTTTTGAAGATTAGTTCAAATAAAACGTGTCTTTAGTTGTACGTAAAACGCGCTTCAAAGGAAAACAATAA